AACGTACACAGATTGGTAATATCATAACTTAAAACATAGAATACTTTATATAATATTTCACACGCGGGTTCCGCGAAATACAGCAAATAATATAAATATGAAAGTGTGTTTGTTTGTTTATTACCGTTCAACGTAACGTAGTATTTAGACTGAAGAGTGGCATACGATACTTTTTATCCCGCCAGTCAATACACCTCGATTGCACCGACGAAGTCGCTGTTTAAAACTACTTTTAAATAGAATAATGTTATAGATTGCATAGCATTTAGTAGAACGGCGAACTTGTCGGTTCAAAAGGAATTTATTCAAGGGAACTTTTCATACTTATCTCTGAGAGGAATTTTTCAAGGCTACTCGCAAACTTGGTAAGAATTTGTTGAATGGCAAACATTGTAAGCTTAATAAATTCATTATTATTATATAAAACGTTTTCTGTCCACTGCTGAACATAGGCCTCGCTCATAGACTGCCATAAGTAACGGTCCCGAGCTACCTGCATCCACTGAATTTCTGCAATTCATTTGAGATCGTCACTTCTTGTAGCTAATTAATTATAGGCTACATACTCGTACTAATTCTGTAAAAAATGTCAATATTTATTAAATAATTATGGCTATAAAATAGCTTTGAAATACTAACATATTTATTTGGAAAATTAGAGACTGTATAAAACAGTATTTTTTAGTCTTGACTTTGCATAACAAGGACATAGATAGATAGGTAGATACTCTTTCTTGTTTCCTCCAAAATCTTATAATAGTAAACTTATTACAGAAATAATTACAAGAAATGATGACACTAAAAAAATTTTACACGGCCGTGTCACTAAATTCCTCTCTCTTAGGCAACCTTTGGCTGGAAAGGATATTAATTAATCAGGATAAAGAGCAATTTATGGCCATCCTAAATAGTATAATATCTAGAGAGTCCACATCACGATGAGAATAGTATGGCAAATATATTAACCATTAAGAAGTTTATTGTGTTGTATTACAGTGTTTTAAAAGTCCTAACTTTTATATTTAGGAAAATTATAATGTCCTTAACATTATAATATTCCTAAATATAAAAAAAATAATTCATCTATAAATAATCACAAATAATTTTATTTGATTTATTTTTGGATAACAATAATGCTCATTTTTTGTTTGTACTCCTGTATAGAAAATCATTAAGGGCAATTTTAAATCTTTTGACATATAATATTTAATTTCAAAATCACTTAAATGCACAACAGTTGGTACTTATAAGACAGTAGATCAAACGTTGTTTTAAATTTGCCTAAATTTATTATTATCATGCTATTGTTAAGTGCCTCAAACTTATAATTACGAACCTAAATTAAGCCTAAAATTGTAAGACGTTATTACAGAAGTTCCATTATTCAAATAACCACTTTATTTGAAAATTAATCTACGTTGTTAGATTTCTAAAACATTACGTAACTCACGATAATCTTATGATAATATTTTATATCTTTTATATAATAAAATAAATATATATATATATGAAATTTGTAATGTCATTCAGAAGACTTTTGCATTATCATTAGTAAGTAAAGACAAAAAAATATAAATAGACGTCACAAACAGATTATTATTCAATATATTATTAAAAATTATTATAAATATTTAGATAGACTGTCATACAGTGAAAGATCTGGACTGATAAGGCATGATCAAAATGTAACTTGGATTTATATACATTTACGCAATGAAAATGAAAATCATTCCTTAGCACTTATTTAAAAAAAAAAAAATTTTATTACTCTCTTGGGTCACATAAGGGAAATATATGTAGGATTTTATGTTTCCAAATCATTTATTTTTTGCTGTAAGTTTAAAGATCAGTTAGATCATTATCTCTTTATTCTATCTGCTATAATCATCAATGATAAAAAATGAGGAGGTCGAAAGACTATTGAGATGACTACTCGTATAATATTAATATAATCATTTGTAAAAAAAAAATGCTAACTAGACATAATTGTCTGTAAAAGGGATATAGTATATAAGAAAAAATAATACGAGAAGCTTTATGGAGGAAACCTATGTCAGTGTATATATATTAAAGATTGATATAATAATATTATTTTAGTAATAATAAATTTTAAATTAGAGAAAATGCTATTAATTAACACCATTAATAGTATAAAGACGAAAAAATGTATATATATATATTTGCTAGTTATTTGCCCGCTACTTCGTAGGTAGTAGATTTCGAAAGTAGAAAAACTAATAAAATGGGTCACTGTGAAAATTGCATCCATTTTGGTGCAGTACTTTGAAACATACAGACAGATTGATATAATTCCTAAAATATTTGTGTTAGCATCTATTTATCTCATGAAGGCCTTATTAATAAATAAATAAATTTTCCTATAATATTCATTTACTTTATATTAATTTTTCTTAAACATCTCCTACGTATAGATATCTTCTAATTACATTTTTATTATATAAGTAAGATACAATTGAGATATTTACAGACAGAGAGGTATTACATAACCCATATTATGTAACTGTTCCATGGATATTTTATGAGCGTTAAGCGTTATCCTATTACATAATGATAATCATTTTAATAAATAAATATGTAATGGATGAATAGCAAAAACGTTACCATTAACTGAATTCAAGTAAATATACCTACTTAATATTAAGTACATAGATCCAGCGCCTACCTCGGTTCGGTTTCTCAATAACGAATCGCGCCCTATATTACCGGGCTTGTGTTATCAATGGAAACCCTTAAGTGCCCACTTTGGTGGTGTAACGATCGCTATCAGGGAAGCTAATCATAAATATAGACTCTCCAGTGCCCATAACACTGTATTTTATGTTCGTCTTGAATAAACATGGGTACTGTTTATTGGACAATACGGGATTGCACCACGAGTAAATTTTAGAAGACTCGAGTTTTTTTTTCTGAGATTTCCATTTTTCAGCTACAACAGTAGATAATAATGTATATATATATATATATATATATATATATATATATATATATATATATATATATATATATATATATATATATATATATATATATATATATATGTAGATGACCCATATATCGATACATAGTCAACACACAAACTGCTGAATCCAGAATCATATATCGGTAATTATATATATATAGATGAACAATAAAAATAAATGAACTCCAAAATAAGTTTGCTTTATATTTTGTTAAGTTAGATTACAATCTTGATACAAAATAAAAATATAATTTGTTTTCATAAGTATAATAGTTACAATCGAGGAATTAATTTGTGAAGTTAGATTGATTTGTAGCCCAAAATAGGAAATTTTTGGACTCGGTAACAAACTCACACTAATGATCATCTTTCTAATTCTTTTACTTTATAAACTACCGATTTTTTGGGGTTGTTTAGTAATGATAAAACAAGATCCCCGTTTACAACTGTATATAGATTAATAATTTCACATTACGAAAGTGAAAAAAAATATTGTCAATAATTAGATTAGATTGATGATGAATTATGACTAGATATTTATTTGTTTATTAGATGCACAAGACAGCTTCACAACAAAACACCAACAAAACAGCGTCAATACAGACTATATACAAGAGATCGACGATTGACTTAATTTTCTACCTAATCATAACCCAGTCTGAATCTCATCTGAATATCACGCGGTTCCCCTTGGAAACTATCGTGGTTAATTCTTGTCAAATTTGTCACGATGGACTAACTGACCTACTTTCATCCTCATCTATCATCACTCACTGGTGTCTCGACAGCGTATACCGATAGCGTCGGCGAAGTAGTTATTCCATATTCATCTATTTAAAAAAAGCCCTGTCTGAATTTAATATAGATTAAATTTGTTTAAATTTATGTCTTCAATCTATCCCGAATCAGTATAATACTAAGCAAATAAAATTCACATAATACCATCCCTAACCCGTTATAAAGGCGCAAGATTTATGTCAAATCCATGGACTTTTATTCACAGGATTGCAGCCTTAGAACTGCTTTCTGAGCTCGCGATATAGAACGTTGAATGAAATTCTCTCTGAAATGTGTATTTAAATGTAAAAATGTCTATTTTATTTTAAAAAAGACCTAGCAATTTTAAATAATAGGTTATATTTAAATAGAATATTAGAAATTTTATTGTTATACCAAACGAACGTATTTTAACTATATTTTCAAGTTGTAATACAAAATAATGGTTAAAAACCAAGATTTTTAACTTTATTTATGAATGTAATAATATTTTTGTTATAGGAATTTGATATAAAATGCTATTTTGTATTATCTTTTTATTTATTATTTATGATACGTAAAAGCAGTTTTGATCATTGGAGTCGATATTATATTTTAATAATTTTCATATAACTTTTGTTACAGTTAATATAAAATTAATTCATTTAAAATAAATAAATTCTTATGACCTCTTTATCTATAATAATGTAAAAATTTTTTCATCGCATAAATACATTTATATTTTGCCAAAGATTGACTGGGAGAGAATGCTATATATCTGGTATTAAATACGACTTTTGTACCAAACATTTTTTGTAGTGTGGTCAATAAAGAATAAATAACTAAATACATAATCAGACTATTGCGACCCATTAGAATTAGTTTGGTTTCTATAAATAGTTAGCTGACGAAGGTGAATTGAGGGTATTAATATTACGAGATATGGTATAAAGTCGTGTTAAAAATGTTTTCTAATTTATTTAATTTTACATTTGTATGTTAGATGATTCACAAAGAAAAAATATATATATTTTTAATTAAACGTGTAAAAAGTTTATGATATCGGAAACAAACTCCTTAGACAAGTGGCACATAAATTTAATGGTAGATAAGTTTTCGATCTTATGCACATAAAAAAGAAAATGCCAGCTTGTTATTACGTTCTACGAGTATCATGCGTATTGTGTTGAAAGGAAATCTTTTGATAAATTTATTTGCCATTTGTCACTTACTTAGTGGAGCAATAATGTAAATTGATTCTTACCGTCCTATTTTGAAGATTCTTGACTCTACACAATAATCTAACGGGATGGCCCACTAGGCCTGTTATGTTTTTTGGTGTGGTGGAATCGAAGTACGGCGCGTCAGCTGACCCTTGCCATTCTTGAAGGAATTCTGCTCTAAACCGACGCGATGACATGTCCACAGTCGTACTGTCAAGTGGCGATTCGGTGCCGGAGCCAGCTGTTAGAAAAATAAATAAAAAAAATCTAGATTATTTCATTACCGAAGATTTATTTCTTATAATTATATTTTTATGCTTAATTATTTAATAATATCGACTTAGCTTGTAAAGTTAAGTCGATATTATTGTCGTATCTAAAACTCATTTATTGTTCTTAAAAACTGCAATAGGGTTTCAAGTAATACACAATTTATTTTTTCTAAATACATACATAACAAACTCAGAAAATATAAATTAATAAAAACAAAAATGAATAAAATAAAAAGGAAACATATGTAAATTAACAAATTTAAATTGATAAAATTAAAAAAAAAACAAATATACACATTTTAAAAATATTTGTCATTCGAGAATCAGACGAATAAAGGAAAAAATTAGTATCGTGTAGTATAAGAGGTAAAAAGAGTCGCTAAATATCATGCTGAGTAAAGTAAGCAAGAGCTTCATCGACAAGAGCTTAGCTCTGAAATAAGAATGAATATATGAAGATAAGAATCGAACACACAACTGTTATACGGTGAGGGTGTAAATAAAATCGCTACAGCAATTATTAAACTACACAGAAAATAGCAAACAACTTTATTTGAACTTCATCAGAAACGCCTAACATTTTATAAATGGAACTTAGACATTACATTTATTCTAGAAATATTAAACAAGATTTCTTGTTTTCTTAGAAACAATCGGTAGATAAGCAGAATATAAAGCAAAATAAATTACCTTATACTTTTACGCTATAATAGACAAAACAATTCGCTTCAATTCCTTTCTAAACAAGTAAAAGGATTTAAAGTCTCGCTTCCATTAAATTCGTATTTATAAGCAATGATCTTACAAAGGTAGACGATTTTTGATACTCATTGAAGCGTTTAGTAACAAATCTTAACTGATTTGCAATTAGAATTAAGTTAGTATGGTATATAATATATCTGCCCTTAACTATCCACTGCTAAATAAGCCTCCCCCTTAAGGGGTTTTGTCAGTAGTTGCCATGTTTAGCAGGTGGGTTGGAAACCGCATTTAGGCCTTGGTGATGCTTTAAGAGGGACGCTGCTGCCCATTCTTCGACCATTAAGTTCCCTTAGTCGCCTCTTATGATACCCACAGGAAAGGAAGACCCATTCTATACTAGGATCACAGGCAAAGAAATAGGTTATATCATTTGATCTATTTTTTTTTTGAGACTTAAATGGGAAACAAGTTAAAGATTTACATGATGAAAAATAGTAACCATCGCCTATAGACACGAATACCATGAATTTTGCAAAATATGCTGTGACACTCATGATATTCCTAATGTGTTTGTATTCATTATACTTAATGCCTCTGTAATCTTCTAATTTTTTCTTCTAATCGTGTGTAACATTTATGAAAAAGGTATCTACTATTAATACAAAAATAATTAGATAGGTATATATACACTTATTAAAAATTTCGAATTTCCAACAAGATAAACAGAAACGTAATGACGTAAAGTGTTCAATTTACTCATTATGACTAAAAATAGATACCTGTTAATTTCAAATAATAGTAGCGTTGCCCATAACTATTTTTTTTTGTCTTACAGTAAATTTAAATAATATCATATTTAATAAATATCTCCTTACAATTCGTGGTCCTTACTGCTTAATTTTTATGTAAAAAAATGCCAATGTATTAGGGGTATAAGGATCAGCCTATTGAAACCAAAGCGACCGAGGAAATAAAAACATTCCTTTCATAACTGAATGAATGGTGAATATTTGCATCTTAAGTGTGGAAAAACATATTTTAAATTGAAGTCTGATTTCAAATCGGAATATTCATTTCTTCTCGAAATTAATGTTCGCGAAACCCGTATTCATACTTCGGCACGATCTTTTAGAATTAATATCCTTGAGGGACCCCACTTTTTAAGAGACAAAGCGCAAAAGATTTCTCTCGGTTATTCTTCATTCATACATCTTACAAGATCCAGGGCCCATTCATTCGGAGTCAGCCGACCGAATGAGAATAAATATTTTCGCAACAAGAAAGCAATGAATGTACCAATTCTATGATTTATGAGATGTCATTTTGCTGTAGAAAATTGCGCTTGGCAAAAAATCTAGTATATTTTTTTATTACGTTATACACAGTGTGCCTTTTATGGTTTCGTGTTAAGATTTACTTCATTTATTCATATAATTATTTACAAACTCTTATATTACATTTTTAATTTACCTCTCGATATATAATGCAGCTTCAGCTAAAAGAAATAGACCAGAAACTCAGTTGTTTTTCTTTTTGAACATAAATTGAATTTACCTGTTTCTAATTTTGTTTAACTATAAATTGCCAATTTAGAATATTAATATAAAAACTAAGACAATACGAGTAAATATTACTTAGTGTAAAGAATAAAACTATTCTTTACAAATAGTAGTAGCACTAACATCAGTTCTTGAGTATGATAAATGAGCCAACTTGCCTACAACCATATGTTTGTGGGCTTAACGACCCGGCCTATATTGCATAATAAATAAAATATAATACTGTCATAACCCTAAATAGGTTAGTTAGAGGAATTAGACGCCTTTTACCGTTGTACTTACATTTCTTGGAACAAATCTGAATCCAATGTAGGAGTGGGTGAGTCGACCTTCAAGATCTTATAAGTCGGGGTCGTAAAATACTAAGCCACGACACGGCGCACTCAATTACCTATTAAATCTATGTCGTTCAATAATACATTTATTAAACTAAAACGTGTTTGACACACATGTTCTTTTGTCTGTTCAGTGTTTATTTCAAATTGGACTAATAGGTATAACAAAAAAAAAAAAGAATCTTCATTGTCATGATTAAGTTGAAAAACAAAGACTAGCTCATAAAAAATATTTTCCTTCCAAATCTTTAGGTTATTGATACTTGGTGTCATTGTTTGTGATTTTTTTTATCCATAATATTTGTACTATGGCCTTAGAAAATGTGTATATACACATGTGCTTCCTAAGTAGATAGGTTGGAATAAATAATAACAAAGAGAGGTCGCCTGCAATATAATATTAATAGAGAGTCCATCGCTGTTGAAATCGTTGTCAAATGCTAACGCGAGTCTACAACTCTGTCGTAATAATTGTGAATTGTTCTACGAACCATTTCTTTAGCAATGTAACATAAGTAAGAGCTTTTGTACTATATAGTATTGTCATCATTACTATATTGTATATCGTGTCTTTTCAAGTAACTTTACTATATAGTTGCATTTTGTTTTTATTTTATGTTTGTTATCTTATAACTATATCAGTAATAAAATGATTTGGATTTTTTTTATCTGAAAAAAAAATAGATTGGTTGCTTATTTTTCAAAATTAGTTCAGTAGTTTAGTTTCCAAATCAAAATAACTGTATTAGCCAAAACTGAAGATGGTTTTTTTGTGGACTGCAAATTTATTATATATACTAAAATAAATGAATGCTCTCGAGAATTATTAATTATTACAATAACAAAACATATCCTATAACACCAACGTAATAATGGCGTCTTGAGGTATATTGAGTGGTTTCTAGTGGGTAAGGGTTTAACGTATCCAATGTTCCTTTCCTTAGATACATGGATATATTTAAAAAAAAATTTAACACGTAGTAAGCGATATACCTATACGAGTATATTAAGCAGTTCATTGACCTAGGATATCATGAGCATATAATAGCATTTCTCTATACATGCCTCCTTTACCCTTTATATAGTTCACATCTGTGACATTTTTATTCAGACCTTTCGCTTAAAGTTATGTTACAAAGCGTAAAACAGAACAGATCTCCCGGAAATCGGGCTGTCTTTTTGCATTGATTTCATATTTTTTCCTCTGTGAATGTTCAAAGCTTTTTAGCAAAGGTAGGTTTTTATTGTTATGTTTTCTTTGTATTATGTTAGTACTTTTTTTCTCTTCCGTTATTTTTTTAAAATGTAATAAATTCTAATATAAAATAATCCCTTTTAGACTTTTGAGCCGCATGATTTATGATTTATAAGAGACAAGAATTCACGTGATCATTTAGATAAACTATAATAAGTTTTCTAAATTTTCACGATGTTTCGGTTTAAAAATCTCTAAAATCTAACCGCGGTTACCAACCCACCTAGCTCGGTAACTACTGACAGAACTCCCTTTATAAGGAAGGCTTATGTCCAACAGTGGACAGTTAACGGCTGAATTAATAAAAAAATAATTTAATTGATCTTCGTAAATACGATCACGTATCTGTCTTTCGTAGCCACTTAAAGTGGCTTCGACTTCGACGTGATATGCATATCCTATCTTTCCTTTATTTTAACACTTATTATATTTTGTAAATAAACTGGCTTTAAAAAAAAAGTAATTCAATTGAGTTTCTTGCCAGTTCTTCTCAATTGGATCAATATACCGAACTGGACGGTAGGGTAAATATAAAATTATAATGTACAAATTTGACGTTCATAAGCGGCTAAAATGTCCTACATGAATAAATGATTTTTGAATTTGAATTTGAATTATAAATAAGTAGGTATTATATTTATAGTACAAGTATTTAAGTAATATTCTAATATATATTAATATTTTATTTAACTATTTATTTGTTTTTGAATTGATTAGTGTTAACAGTTATTCATATTCGAACTATTAATAGTTGTTCGTTCACTTTAGCTGCCCACTAACTACATGCTTTCCAACTATATTGGGTTCACTAAAAGAGATCTCTGTTAGAGAAAAGTGTACCCTTGCTTACAATATTTATAAATGCCTTAAAAATGTAATTTACAAGTGCAATAAAGAATATACATTCCATTTTGAAGAACAGAGTTCGCTAAGCAGGCTCCCCTATCTCTTGCATTGATACTACTCAATGATATTTTGAGCCAGTATCCGCAATTCGATGTATTTGCCTCTAACTTGCTGGAGTTTCGTCGAGTGACCACAGAGTATTTGTGTTCAGATGTTTTTAAGTCTTTTTTATATTATTCTTGTTATATATGTGTAATATTCGTTTTTTATATGTTATTGTACTCATGCTTTCCTGGGTGGGCGTATTGGAAGACTGTGAGGCTCACCCAGTGGATGTAATAAATAAATAAATAAATATCTCTTATAAACTACAATATTATCATATTATCATAGGACCTAAAATTTTAATGTATCAATCTTATTTAATTTTAAAGTTACCCAACTGAAGCCTTATATGTTACGATTGTGTTGCCTAATAATAATACTTCATTAGGTTTATAAAATCTAGCAGTAACAATACCAAGATTTTTTTTTGCTACAATTGATTTTGTACTGTGATTTTAATGTATTTTTTTATGCAACTTAGAATGGCAAATGAGCTGACGGCCCACCTGATAGAAAGTGGTAACCGTCGTTTATAGACATGAGCAGTACCATGGACATAACAGAGTATACTGTTTTGCCCATGATACACCTCCTCATGCGTTGCCATTCCTGAGGACTGAGGTATTATTCCTCTGTACCCTGTAAATTCACTGCCATATCCCGCCTTTCAAACTGAAACACAGTCATGCAAACACAATTGCTTCACGGTAGAAACACCAACAACTTTTGTACAGTCTCCCTTCCTATGGTTTAATGTAATTTAACAAAGAAAACTATTTGTATATCGAATACGTCCCTCATCTCCAGATTGACTAATGCTAGCCAAAAAACTATCTTACGTCCCTCTTAATACATCATCAAAATCTAATTGCGGTTGCCAACCCGCCTATCAAGCATGGCGACTACTGGTATAACCTCTCGATAGGGGGAGGCCTATGTTCATCAATGGATAGTGATGATAGATGATGATGACAAAAGGAACTATCTACAGATATCAATGAATACCAGCGATATAATTTAGTTGGTTTTTTTCTGTTCTAATACATATGGATATCAAAGTAAAATTATCCGTTATTTACATAATTTCTATTTGATTATATATCTGTATTTCTTACTTAACGTTATAAGTATAAAAGGGTATGGATTTCTTGTTTATTTCTTAACTCAATTGGTGTTAGTGACTGCGATAAATCATTAAAAAATTGTGATTCACATCATATTGACGTAAATAAAAACATAGACAACTTTTCATTACAGATATGCGAACAAGGTCAAGGGCGAAGCTAATAAAACTTCCACCTGAATATTGGAAATATTATTCTTGTATCTACAGTTTTCCTTGTCTCCGATTTTATCTTATATTGCATTTATCTTGATAGGAAATGTTATAAATAGATTACGCGTACATTTCAACATTACAGTATTACAATATTACGTCTCTTATTATGATTGTCTTCTGAAAATAGATCTACGCTAAGATTTAAACTGGCATCTACACAGATACAAAATATGGTACAACAGTATATTTTTTATGCTATTTAGAATGAAAAACAAGTTGATGGTCCTTCAATAGATTTACTCTTGGAATAAATTCCAATAGATTGATATTGGAATTGAGACGTTTCATACACTCAAGTTAAAATACTAGCGTGGTAATGGTTTTGTATTGTATTGATATATACATATTAGTGTAACTTGCCAATGCAAGCTGTTGCAAATCGATCCCAATTTTAACCCAATTCCTATTTATTGTCTCTTGAGGGCAGTACAGGCCACCCCTTCTTTTCTCGTGAGTGTCGTAAGAGCCGACTAAGGGAGGGTGAAGGATGGGTAGCAGCGTATTAGTATATGAGTAGCCAATCTGCCTGCCAAGCATGGTAACTAGTAACACCCCAAGGGGAAGGCTTATGTTCAGCAGTGGACAATAAAAGGCTGATATGATGATGATGATGATGAGGGCAGAACAAAATTATCCTTGGTAATATAATGCAATGACATCCATAATTTTAGACTTGCTGGTGGTAAGTAGTAACTATCGGTTATATACATGAACCATATAGAAAAAACTGAGACACTATGGTACCATAGTGTTAAAATTCTTAAGGAGTAAGATATTTTACATTTCACTTTAATCCAAAAGTATTTACCACAGCCAAGTGAGCACAGATGCTTGACTGTGTACGATATCGATCATTCCATATATCATCAGTTTTATGGGAAAATGTTTAGATACGCTCTTAAAATAATCTATAAATATACTCACCTATAAGAAAAAGGAATCCATGTAGAAGAGATATCAATAATGCGGACTTGACACCGCCAACTGCTTGCCCCATCCTCACCTTTGAACCACTGAAAAAATAAAATGATTTAAAAATATTGATAAAGGAACATTTTTATTACAAGAACAGAACAGTAATAAGATGTAAAACAGAGACTATGTTAACGAAGTAACGATAAATGATGGGGGAAAGGATTGTTAGTAATGCGGAATACCAGTCGTATTGCTAGCAATATACTCTGTCAGATCGAGCTCCACGTGGTTCCTCTTGGAAACCATCGTGCTGAATTCCAAGTATATCACGATAGGCTAACTGCCTGCCTTTTCTGACTCACCTGTCATTCCTAACTAGTGCTCTGCCAGTGTATACTATAAGCACAGGCGGGAATGGCATTCCATTAAAAAAATAAATAAAAAAAGTGCCGTAAGATACATCGCGTTAAGTCTCGATTGTGTGTTTGAAATATTTGTAACCTAATATCTATATTATCTGTGAATATACAAAATCATATAAATATACTTAATATATATGTATGTATAGTATATTTATATTTAAACTATATATTCAATTGTTACAATATTAAATTAGTACAAAATTATTAAATTATTAAAATTCAATTCCTTTTTTTTTATACAACTTAGAATGGCAAACAAGCTGACTGCCCAGTTGATGGAAAGTGGTAACCGTCACCTATGCCTATAGACATGGACATAACAGAGTGTACCTGTTTCGCCCATGATACCCCCCATGCGTTGCAATTCCTGAGGACTCAGGTGTTATTCCTCTGTACCCTATAAATTCACGCCATATCCCACCCTTCAAATCGAAATACAGCCATGCTTAATTAACTACTTCACGGTAAAAACACGAATGGGAGAGAGGTACCCAAGCAATCGACTTTTGCATAAAGTCTCCCTTTATTTGATTAAAAGGCGGTGTTACGTAATTCTTTAATGAATTAATACCTATAAACGATTATATTACAAACGAAAATAAATCATAAGGTTCCTAAATCACATTAAAATGGATACAAACGAGATGGGAAGGGATGTCACCATGACAAGGGCATCCCGAGGAATTCCAATTTGGGGAATTAAAAGTTAATTTGATTTGTCTCGTCTGTTGCTCCAGAACATGGGAGCATGTTCACAATTTTCACTTATGTGTCACACTGTCTTGTCAAAATATCTTTGCTTCATAAAAGTTGAACAGTAATTTCTTGTATAATAAAATAAAATAGCTAAATTATAACGTTTTATTTTCTGTTAAATTATTATGTTTGCAGTTAATGAGCTGCCTGTCGAGAGTTTTTTCAGAGAATGGGGTTGTTCAAAAGGGGGTAAGAGAGGTTACAGGCGTAGACTATAGTAACGGCTAACCATCGTGAGGGCCATATACTTGTTTGCCACTTCAATGGTATAAAAAAATAACTATATATGAAATATTTTATTTATCTTTATATTCATTATATTGCCATGAAGCAGTTGTGTTTGTTTGACTATGTTCCGGTTTGAAAGATGAGATATGACAATGAAATTCCAGAGTACAGAAGCGTAATACCTAAGTTCTCAGGAATGGCAACACATGAAGTGTACCATGGGGGGCGACACTGTCCATGGTACTGGTTTATGTTTATAGGCGATGGTTGGACTTTCCATCAGGTGGTACGTCAGATTATTTACTATTCTATGTTGTATAAAGTTTTTTTCATGACATATGAAAAAAATTTAAAAAAAGTACTTTGGAGTTTATTAATCGAGAAGAATAAATGTAATATGAATTTGAGTAAAAAGATAAAAAAAATTAGAATTATATTATACATTTATCTGAAAATAATAATAATATTATTTGTAAGTATTATTATCAATATTCTATTTATAGTATATATATATATAAAATATAAGCAATATATGATTATGAGCCCTTTATTTTGCGTGAGAAATGTGGCGTAAGATATGTGAAATTCTTGTCATTCCTTACGCGACCGCTTCCTTATATGCATACATATATATACATACTTATATTTACATACTAGTATTAGTTTATATATAAGTATGTTTGCACTAACTTAAAGGTATTTAGAATTGAATTCGATTGCGATGTGACTTTAGCTAGTAGCTAAATGCTGCCAAGATTATTACTTATTTTTTAAAAGAACGCTAAATACGTTGCTCGGTACCCATTCGCGGAGCTACTTATCGGGTCCAATTGTAAATCTAAACTGTCCTGAAACCTATTCAAACACATAAATATTTCATCAAAATCGGTTCAGCGGTTTAGGAGATCCTTAGTAACATACACACATATAAAAGTATTACATATACATATAAAGATTTAACTAAATTTAAAATTAATGTTAAATATATGTTTAGAAAATTATTTCATTTTATTTTAATTTAAATTAAAATTGTAAATAAATACCACGACTATTATTATTTTTATAAAAAAAAAATATATTTTCTTTTACAATTATTTAAATAAATTAAATCATTGTAACATTGAAATTAAATTGATAATTGAATATATCACCAGAATAAAGAAGTGTTGTATGTACTTTGTAAAAAAAAAAAATAATTATATACCTTAGTAATATTACAATAAATGTGAAAGTGAGTTTGATTGTTTATTACTTCATAGCGCTTGAATATTTTAACCAATCACTATGAAGGATTTACACGTAAAATATGGGATGGAGAAGGACATAGACTATATTTATCTCGATCATTAAACATATCTCTGTTACGTGAACGAAGTCGCGGGTCAAAGCGTGTATTATTATATCGATTCTTTTATTTTAATAGATATTATTAAGATTAATGTAGTAACAATGTTTACCATTTTCTAACAGAGCTGTTAGTTAGCCCAATCACCATTTTATGCAGCTCCTTTATACTTACTTTGCACATCAGCAATATATGCTATAAAATTTCTGCAAATTTTGCAATGTAGAAATTTATTTCCATTTCAAAAATAGGTTAATGCGATCATAGCTCCAGATGTCTTTAGGAGCGATTCAATATTTACATACGTTGATGTCTCTCGAGGCTTGAATAATCTAAAGCAAGCAATGTAAGGATAACTCGAGTAGTTTGTATAATATAGTAAAAGTTCAAACGATTCGAATCAACATAACTCGATCAGACGTTGGCAGCTGTCATAATAAAACGGTTTAAAAGTAAATAAAAAAATATATAGAAATTTAATAGACCAGAAATCGTGTATACTCATCCAAACATAGAAAAAAATAAATCTACGCATATTTATGAGTTATAAAAGTAGATGAAGAGATATAAGGATAGAGACCTTTGATTTTTGGATCCTCTGCTTAATCCACACGGAATTTAACGTGAGCATTGATGGATAACATTCAATAATATAATATACCAGTGGCAAACCGATTTTGCATGACTTTTATTTTAATAAAATAAATCTCATGTTACTTCCTATTAATATACATACGTTTCTGTAGTTAAAATAATTATTAAAATCGGTTTATGTATTAAAATTTTTTTTAACTTATCCATTACCTAACCAAACAACTACAACAACATTGATTCTACAGTGACTAAAGTTATTAAGTTCTAATCACCTTATCCATTGTAAAATCAATGTTATAAAGTTATTAATATTGGTTGCGTATGAAATAAATAAAATATATCCTTATTTTCATCCCCAAGATGTGACAAATCATAATATATTACCGTAAAAGAAGGTTGACAATGTGTATGGGGTCTCTAATTATTTATAAGACAATAGTATTTCACTAGTCAAGTAGCTAAAATCTCGGCACAAGTCAGTGCCTCCTCTAATAAACAAAATATCGTATTTATTGTATGTTATTATTATATGCATGTTATAAAAATAGATGGTACTTTGAGCAGATAACTCGAGCTATTGACAAATGCAAACAATGATGGTGCAATTCACTGATGATCGTATTTATTGATATTATTCACAACTCCGGTTATATTATATGCATATTTCCAAAACTAATGTAAATTATAAAATATTTGTGGTCTATTATTACCTAATTCCTTAAAATTGTTTATTTCATTTCATAGTGTATAATTATGTTAATTTAAATGCTGTGAATACCTTTAATAGGCATGTGCATTAATATTGTATTGTATTTAATGTTTGTTATATATGTTATAATGCAATATGCTGTTGGTGTTCCTATAAATAAATAAACTTACACGTATAATAAATTTTGTCAGATGGAGACTTTGTGCAAAAGTCATTTGCTTGGGCACCTCTGTCCCATTCGTATTTCTACCGTGAAGCAATTGTGTTTGCATGGCTGTATTTCGGTTTGAAGGGTGGAATATGGCAGTGAATTTACGGGGTACAGAGGAATAACACCTAAGTCTTTAGGAATGGAAACGCTTGAGGGGTATAATTAGTGTTATATCCATGGTACTGTTCATGTCTATAGGCGACGATTATCGCTTTCCATCAGGTGGGCCGTCACGTTATTTGCCATTCTAAGTTGCATAAAAAATTGAAAAATAATATTGTTTCAATTTGTCGATAGCTCGATACTTAATGTACTAATATAACAAAACTTAATATAAGCTTAACCTACTCTTAATTAGTCAGACGTGTAAATCGACACAATGTATGTATAATGAATGAGACTGTGAAGCTGTTCGAATTCTACGAATGGTAAAATTGTTATCTGTTAGTATCCAACTGTCAAATAAAGGGGATAATGTTTTCCGGCTGCATGCATACGTACACACGGAATATGTTCGGATCTTTAGCACAACGTTTGGCTTAACCGGCTTGGCGGGTTTTATTAAATGAACGTTAGATTCGTTTTAATTTTGGGAGTTAGAAACTTTAACTTTATAAATTTATAAGCTGGCTTTTTGTCACTCTAACTGCCTCTATCTTTGATATTGTCTCTATTAGATCTAACTTTACGTTTAGTTTCGTATAGAGTAGACAAAAAGAATCAGGTGTATGGTAAGATCTCTATCCTTAAATGCATCTCTTGCTTCGTACATTTTCGTAATTTGTTTCATGAACACATGACCATTCTGAAGATCTTTGACTTCTTCCTCAAAC